CCCCCCCCCCCCCCCCCCCCCCCCCCCCCCCCCCCCCCCCCCCCCCGCCCCAGAGGTTCCCACCGCTCTCCACATCCCTCCTCCACTCCACCCTGCCCCCCGCCCCACGAGGTTCCCACCGCTCTCCACATCCTTCCTCCACTCCACCTGCTCCCCCCACCCCACCCCAGAGGTTCCTGCTGCTCACCACATCCCTCCTCCATCGCTGGGTCCCCAGAGCATGAGACTGACCCGTGTCAGCTAAAATCTCAAAAATAAATATATAGATACTCAGCTGACATTTAGCCATTTTCTCCCACCATTTTGCATTGCACGGCAAACACTCGGTGTTACGTTCATACATACACTATATCGTTGAGTTCCAGTCGGGTGTCCGGCGGCGGGTTAATCAGGACATAGGATAATGTGTTCTGATGGTCATTCATTTCATCTGCAAGGGGTGAAAAACAGAGTAGTTACGCAGGTGGCTGGAGTGATCACTGGTAACTCTTGGCTGGATTAGTCAGTGAACGTTTTTTAAATTGCACATGCACTTGAAAATGGGGAATCATAGGGGCTACTGGACGTTTCCCAATTCTCCCCAATGCATTACAATTACAGAAGCAGATGTGCTAAAGAATATGTGTGAAATGGTGCTCTAAAATCCCACTTCCAGCGTGTCTGCCAGGTTAGCCCGATGACAAATCCTGCTACAACAGTGCTTGGTGGCTCATGGCTCTTTTTGGCTTGGTTTACTTTACACGCTACCAGGCCTCCTTGGTTCATCCAAGCCTGGCTCTAGCTATCCCAATGAAAGCAGCACTTTAACCAATATGGACAAGATGGGCTCAACCCAATTTGCTTTGGTACCTGGGTGCCTCCCACCAGACAAGCCAAAGCCTCACTAACATGACAAACAGCACCACAAAAGCAGGTGGGGACAAACGGGATTGTGAGGAGCAGCTTGCCTTTGGAGTCCATAATGCATTAGTGTGAAAAAGCATTTGAACATCAGCTTGTGGTAGCATGTTTTAAAGGTGCTGGTGGAGGCGAGCAGGTTCCCGTCCCCTCTGCATAGACCAGGAGACAGGAGGTTAGCAGGGGGCTGTAAGGTGGCCCAGGTGAAATGGCAAGGCTGGTTTGCAAGCAGTGAGCCCTGCGACCACTAACTCCTCTGCGCACCCATTCTCTCTCTCTGAAGAATAAGAGCTCCAACCCCTAAAGCCAGTATTTCGCTCATAATTTGGGAGCGCACTAATCTGATAGCTGAAGGGCTCCGTGTCTGATCCCGCTCCTGGAATGGGCTGGGGCATGGACCACTGCTGAGCAGTCACTTACTGGGAGGTGGGAGGGGGTCATTCCCCGCTCGCTTAGACGTACCCGCGCTAGCTCTGCTTCACCTAGCATGCTAAAAATAGCAGGGTAGCACAAAGGGCCGGTTGTGATAGCTGCCCACGTATGTACCCACCTGGACCATACGCAGCCAGCTAGCCAAGCTGCCAACCATGCAGACCTGAAAACGAAGCGCTCTGTGTTGCTCAAACGCTCGGTTCTTTCACCAACAGAAGTTTGTCCAATAAAAGATATTACCTCAGCCACTTTCTCTCTTATAGAGCTTCCTGACAACTGTACACGCAGCCTGTCTGGGGCCTCCTTTTCCCCAGGCTCCTATGGTCACACTCCAGAGCGTGCTGTCCCTCATGCACTCCACACAACCCCTACAGTTGGTGATCCTTATGCCCAGGGCCGGCTCCAGGCACCAGCAAACCAAGCACGTGCTTGGGGCGGCACATTTTCAGGGGCAGCATTCCAGCCAACCCTTTTTTTGGCTTGGGGCGGCACACCTAGAGCCGGCCCTGGCAGCAGCAGCGCGTCCTGCACGGGCGGGGGGCGCCCTGGGGCCGCTGCGGTTCGCGTCGGGGAGCAGCGCCCGCACCTTATGGCCA